AATCTTAAACAGTGAAGGAAACCATCAAAAACAAAAAGCTTATGCTAATGTAATTGAAGGAGGGGTCCAAGTTCCAGCCCCATGAAGCAGCAGTATTTACTAGCTTTAGAGTCAAGGATACAAGACAGGAGTTGTAGAATCTCTCTTCATGGATAAGGAAATCCATTGAGGCCAGACATGTGTCAAGGGTGTTCATGCATGGAGGTCTAGAGAGGCCATTGCATGAAGCCATGAAGGTGAAACCTAGATTATGTTGGAGAACCCAAGATGTTGGAAATGTCAGAGCCATGGGGTACCTGCCTAGGAGAGCTGCAGACTGGGTGTGGAACCAGCCTAAGAGAAAGAAGTATGTTGCAGTCAGTCAACAAAGCTGAAAGGAGTTGGAGATCTGAAGAGTACTTTGACATCAGGCATAGAAATGTAGAATTTTGAGTTTGCCCTGCTGGTTTTTGGTCTTGCTTTGGTTCATTATTCCCTCATTCTGTTCCTTTTCTTTTGTTTTGGAATAGTAATGTGAATTCTGTGCCATTGTGTGCTGGAAGTATGTGATCTGCTTTTTTATTTTGATTTTATGGAGGGTTACTTTTGTAAAACAGCGAGAGGCCTTGATGGGTGGAGCCAAGGTGCCTCACTATGGGTGAAGGAGACACATCATGCAAACACGGCAGGCAGCAGCTAAGGGGGCATGGCAGAAAGTCACTCACACCATGCTGATGTGGTACCCACATGAAAAGTTTTATTAAGGGGGAAGAGAGGGGGGAAGGAAGAGAAAATGGGTAGGGTCTGAGGAGGGGAAAATAGAAAGAGAAAATAGAAAGAGAAAAAGAAAAATAGAAAGAGAAAAGAAATGTGTAAAAAAATTTTTTTAAAGATTTATTTATTTATTATGTATACAGAAGAGGGTGCCAGATCTCATTACAGATGGTTGTGAACCACCATGTGGGTGCTGGGAATTGAACTCAGGACCATCTGGAAGAGCAGTCGGTGCTCTTAACCTCTGAGCCATCTCTCCAGCCCATGTGTAACAAATTTTTCTAGGGCAGTGATATCTGCATCTACTGTCATTTTAAGGCCCTGTAGGTCTGATCTTTGAGTACAACCAGATTATAATCCTGAATGATTTACATAGAAATAATAATTTCTTAAGGCTGTATAATACCTCTTTGGTTCTGCATAAAGAAGGTCAAGTGTCTTATCTTATTGCAAAACTATTTTAGTTAAATCTATCAATTGACAGCTCTGGGCCCAGTTTCCTAGTATGTCAATGGGCATTTTAGGTAGACATTTTGTGCCCTATGCCAGGGAGTTTCTCTTTGACTTAGCCTTTTTAGCCTGTTTTGGGGGCAGGGATGATGTACTCTCTTCTATAGTTGCTTCAAGCTGAAACAGGGCATAGATGATCAGGGCCCAGGAAGGCTGAAAGGCTAGTCAAAGGTCAGGAGGAAATTTAGGCAATGGAGCATTTGTCAGAAGCATCTGACCCAACTTTAGAGACAGGGAACAATCACATTGGCTGGGATAGTTCACATCAGCCTTTAGCAAGTCCAGAACTCATGGTCATTTGCACCAGGTTGCAGTCAGCAATTGATGCTTGGATGTGTCTGCCAGCCAAGTGGAAACCTGTTGAGAGACAAGTTCAAATTAGGAACAGAAGTTAAAATTTATGAACTTACTTGGGACTTTTAGGCCCATAGTTTTAGTAATTGGGAAGGGGAGGAGTTCCAGAGAGAAAAATACCATCCTCAGGAATAGACAGGTGGGGAAAACTCAAGCTGTACTGCTGTGCTTGTCTGGAGTCCTTTTGACCTCTGTGAAGTAGATCCAAGTTTTATGACTTCTTTTGATCTTCTGAAGCTTATATGAATTCTTTTTACAAAAGGACATAAAAGATTTAGATATATTAGTATTACCAATCAGTATTGAAATCCAAATTGTAGAAAAAGCAGGTAATGGATCTGTAAAACAGCAGGAATAGACTCATACCTTTAAGTTTATATTTGGAAGACAACCAAAGAAAATCTAAAATCTTGAGCTTGTGACCCAAACAGTATCAGAATTCTATCAATGTTAAAATTTGAACTTTTGAAATCTTAATATAACAGTATTATAGAAGAGGAAAGTAATCTGAAGCATTTAAATCACCTATTTATATCTGTGTAACTAATATTTATATCTTAAATCATTTTTTGAGATCCTCAAAAAATGGACTTTTATATCTTAGAACATTTTCTTATCAAGAGACCTAGTAGCTTTAGAAAAGTAAGGCTTGATTTTTATATATGAAATGAGCTGACAAGTTGGACATAGCCTTATAAATTTAAATATCTTAAAAACTGTTCTTAATAAAAGGTTTAAAATCTCTCAAATGTCTCCCTGTAATATCAAAATAAAGTATCCTCTTTTATTTTAAGAGGGAGAAAACACCAAGCTCTAATAGTGCAACAATTCCAAAGCTCAATATCTGGGGATTCATTCATAATCTTTTTGATTTTTTTTTATTTAGAGGTCTGGATCACTTTTTGGTTCCACCCTTGGCAGCATATACATAGCCTGATTTCCAGATCTCAGCCTGCTCCATTTCATTGTGGCTGGTGCTTCGTGGTGACTATCACCTGGCACTGGCACTTCAAAAACTAACAGTTAAGGCCCACTACTGCAACTGGACTTTCTTTGGAACTCTAGTCCTGCCATACATTTGCAGCCCTTAGCTGTTCTCCATGATCCCTTCATGTCTTTAAAGCCATTGTCACCTGGGTGACTCTTAAATTATAAAATTTATCCATTCATAGATTTTAAATTATCAATTCCCAGTGTTGTTAGTTTTAACTTTTTATGTAGTTTTATTTTTTAACAGATTTCTAATCATAGTTAACAAAATAAATTTATAAATCTCATGGTACAGAATGTTCATATAAATCATATTCAATTTTTGGCTGTTCTGTTTTGTTTTTCTTCTTTCTGTCACTGTGCCAGGGGCTCAGACTGACAGAGTGACATAGAGGTGACTTTTAAATAAGCATGTCTGGGTCTAGCAAAAGGAAAACCATAATCCAACCCTAGAGCCAGCTTTTCAATAAAGAACAGCATACGTAACTTTCTTGAGAAATAGATAAAACTTTCCAGTAAGACAAACAAAACTTTCCAACTGGAATCAGAACCAGATAGTCACCAGCGACATCTCGCTACATTGTCATAAAGGAGCTGCCATAGCTCAGGATGCTTGTAAAGCTAGTGACTGCCCACATGGTCACTTTTTGTGGTGGTTGTTGTTTTTCAAGAGACACGGAACAGATCATCTCAAGCATTCAGAAATCAGTCAGAAACACAGTCACATGTCCACATACGTGGCCATCTGCACATAGGAAACAGGCTTTTTTTGACAGAAAGAAAACATGAAAGATGTTTTTTTTTGCCAAAGTGGTGGAGGCAGTGGCCCTGGACACTGCTCGTATGGGGCAGCACAATACAGGCAGCACAATACAGGCAGCAGGCATTGTCAGTCCCAGTGCTGGTGGTGATGGCCACAGGAGTGAGAAAGCAAATCAGCAGTGGCCACAGGAGTAAGGGAGCAGACAGAGACAGAAGAATGAGACAGTTTGAGCGAAAGCAAGACAGACTAAGCCATAGACAGGGTGGGAGGCAGCAATGGGAGACCAACCAGTTGCATCTCCAGCAACAGGAGGCAGGAGAGAGGGAGAAAGGGAGGGAGAGAGGAAAGGGAGGGAGGGAGAGAGAGAGAGAGAGAGAGAGAGAGAGAGAGAGAGAGAGAGAGAGAGAGAGAGAGAGAGAGAGAGAGAGAGAGACGGGAGTGTATAGCCCAAGAATCCTTGATTCTACTGGATTGCTGGCAGAAGGTTTATTTCCCACAATTGAGGCAGAATTAATTAGGGCGCAAGCTGCTGAGCGATTATCAGACACAGAGCAGGGGCCCAAAGGATGCTGAGGTCTGAGAGACTAGGGGGCACAGGGTGCTGCAATGTTTCAGCAAATAGAGAGCAGGGGCCAAAGGGCAGCTAAGCCCAAGGGACACTTGTTTGTCCAGTACCAGAACTTATGTGAGGCGAGAAACCATGATCAAGAGGAGACAAGTCCTCATTTGCGCGAAATGGCCAGAAGTGGGGGCTTATTGATTATTCCTATGTTGGCTGAAGTGATTGTTGAAGGTTCCAGGGGTCCTAGTGTGTCTCAGACTGCCAGCAGGCAGGAGAAAGTGCCAGGAGGGCCTCTGTTGAGCACAAACACAGCACCAATTTTGTAAAACAGTGTGAGAGAGGATGTGGCAGGTGGATCCTGGTGCCCCATGGTGGGTGAGGGAGACAGGCCATCCAAACACGGTGGGCAGCGGCCAAGGGGGCACAAGTGGAAAGTCACTCACACCATGCAGACTTGACTTGGCACCCTCGAGGAAAGTTTTATTAAGGGGAAAGGGTGAAAGGGAGGGGGGAGAAAGAGAAAATGGGCAGGGTCTGAGGAGAGGAGAAGAAAAAGAGAAAGTGAAAAGGAAAGGAGGGGCGCATGCTACCTCATGGCGAGAGAGGAAGGAAGGGAGAAGGAGGAGAAGGTTTTTCTTAAAGAAGACTTTATGTAAGATGACATTGTCAGGGCACTCGCAGGCCAGGGGTGGGTCTGAATGCTAACAGTTACAGTTACAATTAAGAGATTGCCTTGAGTCTCAGAAGAGTCTCTGAACTTTGGACTTTTAAACAGTGTTGTGATTGTGATAGACTATGGGGACTTTTGAAATTGAACTGAATACATTTTTGCATTATGATACGGGGCTACAAGCTTATGGGGCCCAAGGAGTGGAATGTTGTGGTTTGAATAAGAATGGCTCCCATACATTCATATACTTGAATGCTGAGTCCTCAGGGAGTGGCATTATTTGAAAGGATTAGAAGGGTTAAAAGGTGTGACCTTGTTGGAAGAAATGTTTTACTAGGAGTGGACTTTGAGGTTTCAAAAGCCCATGCCAAACTCAAAGTCTCTTTCTCTGCCTACAGATAAGGATAAAGTCCTCAGCTGCTGCTCCAGCATGTGCCTGCATGCCACCATGCTTCCTGCCATGATGATAATGGACTAAACCTTTGAAACTGTAAGCGAGTCCCCAATTAAATGCTTTGTCTTATAATAGTTGCCTTAATCATGTATCTCAGCAATAGAACAGTGACTAAGACAATATGTGTGTGTATGTATATGTATAAATGAATATATGAAACAATAGTAATTGAAGAAAAGAAGTAATGAAGTTAAGAAGGGGTAGGGGGGACATGAGACCAGTTGGAGCAGGAAAAGGGAGGAGTGGAGATGATATAAATATAATATTCATGCATGACATTCTCAGAAAAATTAAAAATTTAAATAAGAAAAGATAGAGGAATAAATGCGAACAGAATGTATTATACACATATGTGAAATTGTCAAAGAATAAATTAATTTTTCAAAAGTTAAGGTGAGGTGGCTGAGTGGAATCAGCATTAAAGACAAACTCCTGCAGGAAGTCATATATTTTTAATAAGAAACAGTGCATTAAAGAGAAAACTGAACCTATTTCCTGTCTTCTTACTTCAATCATAACTTTAAAAAATAACTTATGTCGGATATATCCTTCTCTAGGCCACACTTCTCTGGTTCTCTGATGGTTCAGAATCCCTTTTAAGACTCTCAGTTCAGCTCTTGAATATTAAGCAATATTTTTTTTTGTTGAACTCCAGTTTTAAAGTTGAACTTTTAAAAATTTAATTCTTCTTATAATAAAAAATACTGCTAATTAATTATATTAGTAGAATTGCATATGTGATTTAGCACAGGTGCTCACATGTAGGAAACAGAATAACAATGGCAGAATAAGCAATAACTCAACAAGAGTGGCAGTAATAGACTCGCTCACATGTGAGTGATGACTGATGTTTAAATTTGTCACCGTTAGCCTTGTAACTTGATACAACCCAGAATCACCTGGGTAAAGGGTCTCAATGAAGGATAATTTACAGTGGATTGGTCTATAAGTATGTTTGTATGGGATTATCTTAATTAAGTTGATTGATGTGGGAAACCCAGCCCACTGTGGGAGGTATCATTCCCTAGACAGGGAACCCTGAACTGTATGAGTATAGAAATCAAGCTGAGTACAAGCAAGCAAGAAGTGAGCATGTGAAAGATTGTCTTGATTGCCTTAATTAATTTGGGAAGACCCAGCCTGCAAGCAGGGGCACCATTTCTGGATTTGGGGTCCTGGACAGTGTAAGTCCAGAGAAAAACAACTGAGCGCTAAGTCTGCATGAACTCCTTTCTCTTTAGTCTTGGCAGTAGATATGATGTGACTAGCTGCTTCAAGCTCCTGCCACTCTACTTCCCTGAGAGATGGACTATAACCTGGAATGACAAGCTCCAATAAACCCTTTCTCCCTAAGTTGCTTTGGGTCAGTATGTTATCACAGAAATGGAAACGGAAATGGAACTAGGACACCAATCCAAAATGTCTCTAGTAGGCCCCACTTAGCTCTTGCATGAGTAGATGAGGCTAGAGTTTTATGCTCATCTCCAAAACAAAGCATGGATGGCATAGTCTCTGAACCTTCCAAGAAGCAGATGCTAACACACACTTAGATGTACAAGAAAGATGTTGGAGGAAAGTACTTTAAAGTAGAAAGGGAAGATATCAGGAATAGTCAAAGGGAACCTTTAGGCCAGGACTCCTGTGAAAGAGCAGGAAAGTAGAATTGTATAAGAACTCAAATTTTAGCATTGTTTTAAGAAAAACTGCACAAACTGCTAGGAAGTTCCCTATGCAACATCATATGTTAGAAGAGTCTGCATCCCACAGGAATGAATGGGCCCCTGGCTGCAGCAGCACAGAATATAAACACAGTGATGGATCCAGAGAGTCAGCGACAGGGCTGTCAGATGCTTACACTCTTAGGAAATCAGAATGGGACATTTTGATGATGACCTTGGAGAGTGGTGTCAGATAAACAGGGTTAAAATTCCAGCTTTACTGTTTAGTGACCTAACTTCAGTGACTCTTAAGTTCTTCACATGTAAGCTGGGCATGGTGGTACATGCCTTTAATCCCAGTACTTGGGAGGCAAAGGCAGGGAGATCGCTGAGTTTGAGGCTAGCCTGGATTACAGAATGAGTTTCAGGACAGCCAAGGCTACACAGAGAAACCCCGTCTTGAAAAAAAAAATCCTTCTATGTAATTGAATACACCTCAACAAATTATTAGGAGAATAACATGACCTGTGTTGTAGACTCAACCTTTTGCCTGGTATAGAAAACACCTCAATAAATGTTAAATGTTTTTATGACATATACTTAAATTGGTGCAAAGTCAGAATTCTCAGGCTTCAGGGATTTTGACAGTTGGATGTGATGCTGAAAGGTAGGGAAAGGCCTCCATCACTGTGCCTCCAGCACACATGCAGTACACTGCCCTGTAAACTCTTCTCAGGGTCTTTCTCACGTGACCAGTACTTCCAATTCTTAGAATGAACTTCATTTCCAGCTGTTTAACAAGAGAGAAGGGACAATGGCCTCATGTCCCTGACAGATAGTTGAGGCCAGTTCCCCCACTTAGAAGTTTCTTCTGTAGAGTTTGGTGTGCTCATTCATTCTGTTTGTGTACTATAAACAGTAATTCTGTAAACACAAAAGATCTTGAGGATCAGTCAAGCAAATAACAGAATATTGAAAAGGTCATATAAGCAAAGCTCCTCACTGTAACCCACGAAGTATAGTGGCATTACAGTCCTCAAATTGTGACTTTTGGTCAGAGTTTTAGATGACAAAAATCACGAATAACTTCAAAGCAAATATTTATGACCAAAATTAAACTAGGGTTTGATTCACTTTGAGAAGTCTTAATTCATTGGATTGTGTAGCATGAATCTTAAAAGGTCTTAATTAATAAAAACAAACCTGGGAGCCAGATATTGGGGTGAACGCTGAAAGATCAGAGAAACAAAACAAGCCACAGCCAACCTCACCTCGCCAATTCCTCAGCTGATCTTGTTTCCTCAAACTGAAAGCTTCTGTGTCCTCACCCAAATGGATCTCAGCTGAAATGCTGCTCAAAAGCCTAAAAGATTAAAAAGCTAGTTCCTGGTCCTCACGCCTTATATACCTCTCTGCTTCCTGCCATCATTTCCTGGGATTAAAGGCTTGTGTCGCCATGCCTGGCTGTTTCCAGTGTGGCTTTGAACTCACAGAGATCCAGATGGATCGCTGCCTCCTGAGTGCTAGGAGTAAAGGCCTGTGTTACCACTGCCTAAACCTATGTTTAATATAGGGTCTCTGACCCCCAGATAAGTTTATTGGGGCGCATAATATATCAACCACAGGATTACTTTTTGTGATCACAGAATTCTGCCTCAATGTGATGGGAGAGTGTTTATTGTTCTATTTCTTGTCTGTGTTTGTGTGTATACGTTTGTGCGCATGCATATGTATGTAAATGTATGTTTACATATGTGTGGAGACCAGAGGCCCACAGTCAAGATCCTTTTCAACCACTCTTAGCTATATTTTGTGAGACAACCTCATTGAAGATGGAGTTTGCTGATTCAGCTAGACTTGCAGGCAGCAGCAATCCCTAGGAATCCTTGTTCGGCTCCTCCCTGGTACTGAGCCCATAGGTACTCACTACGTCTGGAATTTCTGGTGGGTTTAAGCGGATCCATATTCAGCCCTTCATGGTCATGCAGCAAACCCTTAGCCAACCTAAATATCTCCCCAGCCCACTGATAAGGATTATTACAAACTTTCCTGAAAATTCAAGGAAAGACAAAAAATGATGGCTAATGGGACCAACAGTGAGACATCTTCATTCTGCTCCAGTGGTTAAGACGGTGCTGTTTTTCAGGGATGTCAGCCATCTGCTGCATGCTGTCATGACATTAACTGACTCAAATTCAGGAACCAGTCTTCCAGTGACCGTGCAGTAGAGACAACAAACTAAGTAGACTGTTAACTATAGCTAGTGACTTTACAACTCAGGAAGACTGTAAACAGAAGCATATGAAGAGCCTGTGTGGCCATCTCCCGTGTAACATGTCCATAAGAAAAGGCTCTGTACCCATGGGCACACTGGGATGAAACAGCTAGGCAGAGGTCCTGACTTGAAAATATTTCTAGGGAATAATCTCGAGGGAAGAGTTGTTCATCTATATAGCCCCCAAACTGAGAACGCTAGCGGCGTTTTTGTCTAGTCTTTTGCAAAATTCTAATTCTGCAACCATCTAGCAAGCTCCCTCAAAGGAAGAGGCAGTGAGGAACTAACATACAGGGAACATAGCATGCCAGTCGCTAATCCTCGTTGCACACCCAGGAAGGGGCCATTATCTCCATTTATAGATAAGAAAGCTAAAGTTTGGACAATAAAATTTTACATCCAAGACGTTAAGCCTGACTTGAGTGCTCATTCTTTCACACAATGCTGATTGGTAAAAGTCCCAACCATTCCTGTGGTGAGACAATAGCCTTGATTGATAAGTCACCTTTTGGTTTGCGTGACTATAGGAAACCTCCCTAGGGAAAACTGTCTCCCGCAGTAATCTCCATTTTCCCATAACAGGCTGGTTACTTTTATGATTCCTTTGACTTTCCTCTTCAAATTATCCTGAGAGGTGAGATCTTTAACTGTGGTTAAGATTCCAGCCCATTTTCTTTTCTGAAGGAAGAGTTTGATGTCATTAGACCATGGGTCAGTTGTGGGAAAAAGACAGAAGGCCTTGCAGAAAGAAATGACACCACCAACAAATATGGAAATCCATTTCAGAATTGTACTAGAGGCTGACCACATGATCCTTTCTGCTTCTTAGGAAGAGTATGTTCTAGATTTCACAGTGTGGATACCTATCAGAGGTCACTGTTGTATGAAGAACAAGTGTGAGAATGCTTTGCACTGTGAATAGCCAAGGAAATGGTGTATTTAAAAAATTTAACTTATAAATGAATTAATTTCATGATAGTTATTATTTCGTGTCTAAATACACTTCTTATTATACCAAGATCAATTCTTTCGAACATGTATCTAATATAATTGGGGAGGAATGGACCAAAAAGATACTGGAATATAGACCAATGACCTCTTCT